AAAGGAAGGGAAGCCATCTTGCAGAACTGGAAAAATCGTCGTATAGCGAACAAATGGTTCGCGAAGCAGGCTCCTAATCAAAGTAATGTGGATTTCCCCCATTGGAACCATTGTTTTGCGATCGCAATAGCAATAGCAAAAAAGTCATCATTAAGCAATTTTGATGTCATGCTGGGTAAGCGTCTAGCGGGGCACCCCTGTGCTTTGATTGATCAGTTACTTCTTAGGTATATATTCTTCTTTCCTTCCTGCAATTTTTTTTTCAATTTCTATAAATTCAAGGCAACGTCCGTGACTCCCTTCCTGCCCGTACTTTACCGTTGCAACAGCCCTGTGAAGTAGGACAAGCAGAGAGAGAGAGGGAGAGAGTGAAATTGACTACCCCAAGGTCACTCTGGGAGTACCGTACCTTAGTGGAGGACTCATGGTGGGTCCCAAACGGAACAGTCTGCCCATTGCACCACACTGCCCTTAGGCTTTTCCTGGCAGGAAAGTTTGCCGGCGCCTTCTCCAGGAAAGGTTTTACACACGCAGTTGTACACACCCTATTTCCCGGAGACACCTCTGTGTCTCCAGTTGCCACGGAAGGCACAGGAGCAGCGTTAGGGGGGAGGAAGTTGGCAACACCGAGAGCCAGACCTTCCTGATTCCTCCGTCAAGGGAGATGAAACAGAACACAGCCACGACAACATCCCTATACCTTTTTATGAGGTGTCTGACCTTCAGGATTTAGGGAGGGGGCTTGTCTTCAACAACCCATTAACACCTCCCTTGGATTACCAAAAAACTTGGGTTTCCACATGGTCTCGTTTTTTAATAGGCTCTGGATCAGATCTTTCCAGTTTTTTTTTCTAAAAACCCTCTCCCGTTCTCTCTCTCTCCATCTGTCTTTTTCTCTCTTTTCATGATCATGTTTGGGGTCGGTTCCTCTGGACCTATAGCCCCTCGGAGTCCAGCTTGCAAAATAGGGTTTCCGGTCGCCTCGGTTGAACAAGAGGCTCTTGTACCGCCTTTGGTCGCTGTGGTTCGCCCTTGGTGGTTTCCCTTCCTGGCCGTCCGGAACAAACCGCCTTTGAAAGACCTATAACGACACAGAGAAGTCTTCTTCTGGACTAGTGGGCCCACTCGGCCAACCCAAAGCCCCACGGGCGTGCATCCCGAGCCACACCCTCTGATTCGCAACCCGAAGGCACAGCGGAAAACGGGCGTCCGTCCTGGTTTCCACCCCACGGACCCCAAACAGATGGTATCTTCCTTGCCTCGGGAAAGGGACTTTCCTTCCTTTCGAGGGCAGCTGGATTAGACCAAAAGGCCCGGTTCCTGTGCTTCCAACACTGTGCAGCCAAATATCTGCTGGATCGCTCAGGGGTTTAATTCTCTGGCTACAAGTTCAATTCCTGCTTCTGCCACCATGACCAGTGTTGGACTTTACAATCTATAGGGTCCCTTCTGGCACTATAGTTCTAAAAGGATGATGCTCCTTAATGAATTGCTGGATTGCTCAGGGGTTGAGGTCTCTGGCTGTGGAGACTGAGGTTGGGATGTTCGATTCCCCCACGGGACCTCCCTGACTCAATGTCCCAGAGGGTCACTGTCAACCTGTTCTGTTACCTTGGTTCAGGATCTTGGCCCCTTGTCTTGGCCGAGAGCTGAAATCCCTTGGACAAAGACAGAAATCTTAACGCCTGCAGAATATGGGGATTAAGTTTAGGTCTTCCGCTAGGTTAAATGTTCCACGAAAGCCAAACCAGTCACTGGTCTAGTGGCTGGAAATAGACCAGGGCAGTAGGGAAAGAGGAGAACTGGACATTGAGATGGGTTGACTCAATAAAGGAAGCCACAGATGTGATTTGAACCCAGTCTGTGTCCCGGAGTTTAGAATTTCTGGTTAAAAATATGTTGTTTTTTGCTGCACAGTAGAAGTACAGAGATTTACAGAGGTGAATAGTGACAAAGTTCAGCCAAGTCCACCCCTTTCTCCATAACTGGCACTTTTAGTCTCAGGAAGTCACTCTGAGACATTACTAGTAGAAATAAGAAAAACATCCCATTACAGTACTTACAACTGGGAACAGATCAACAGCAAACTCTAGACAAAAACAACTTAAACATTTTGGAAATCGCTTATTCATGGGCTCACCAGAAATCGGGGGCGACGTGATGGCCCCCAATAACAAGCAGCCGCCATCATCCCTCATCAACACCGAGATGGGTCAGGAGAGGAGGGGAAAGAAAGAGTGCTCAGCCCCAAGCAGACTACAATCTAAAGTGTGCAACTGGAGGCAGAATGACGGCAATTCATGAGCAAATGAAAATGATCGGCCACTCTTTTCTCAGAGGTGCAGAGGACAGAAACTCTGGAACAGAGTTTAATTGGGGTTCAGTCTGGAGCTCTTCCTGTTGCTTCTGTGAACAATAAAACATTTTTTTCCTAAAAAACAAAAACCCCGCAGCCCCCTCCTACCAGTTTAATCAGCCAGGCGAGCACCTCTTCCAGTGATTAACTCATCCTGTTTATTTTTATAACTTAATTTCTCTCGCTCGCTCTCTCCTGCTTGGACCATCAGCCAGAAGTGACGTCTCCTCCCTCGGCATCAGTGGGGATAAAAACTTCAGAGCAGGAATGCAGGGCTTCGTAAATAGCGACCGCAAAGGCTGGAGGGGGCAGCTGAGGCGAAACCTCTAGGTTGAGGAATTCCCCTGGCTTAAAAAAAAAAAAGAGAGAGAGAGAGAGAGAGAGAGAGAGAGAGAGAGAGAGAGAGAGAGCGCTTAAAAAGGTGCACCACCGTCCCCATAATCTTAGGATTCCAGGATGATGCCAGTCCAAAATCTGATTTTTCTGCTCAGCCTCTGCTCCTATGCCTTCAGCCAGATGCCGGGAGGAAGGGGTAAGATTTGCAAAGTTTTATTTCCTTCTGAAGGGGTCCAGAGGGGCTTGGTTTCACGTGAGGATTTCATGAGCAGGACCCAGCCTTTTTTCTGGTTGCCCCCTGCAAACATCCTACTTTGAAATAATATGCAAACCTGGATGATTTCTAAGGGTGCCGGCGAGGCTTTATACCTTTAAACGTTCCTTGGAAAGAAAAAAAATTGCACGGTAGATTCTCAAGGTAGCATCAGTTTTTCCTCCTGTGCCTCTCGTTTGATTTTGAAATATTGATTTGTTTTATTTATAGGCTGACTTTCTCCCAAAAAGGGGACCCTTCCCTTCTAAGGGAAGCTATATAAGGGGTTGTGGGGTTTTATATATATATATAATTTTTAATCCACAGAGCCTGACGTTCTGGATAGGTGGTGTAATAAACTAAATAGGGCTTTGGTTCTTGTTAACCCTCCTGTTTTTTCCAGAATGGTAGCTAGGACAGGAGCTCAAACCTGGTCCTTTCCACGATGGTTTTTGGTCACGGTTTCAATAATTTTATGCCATGGCCACACCATGAAGTCTCTGTTTCAAGAATGCCTTGTAGTCAATGCGACCCAAACCAGACCAAACCCAATCTGGGAAGGGAGGGAGGCAAGAAGACCTTAAAAAATCTCTGCTTGCAGAAAGTAGAGACCAAGAACTGGTGGTAATATGGCATAGTGGTTAGTTAGCTTGACTCACAGGTAGGAGATCTGTATTCCAGTCCCCACTCCCTGACTCAGTTTGCAGGGCTTATAAGGAGTGAGTGAGGTCTCCAAGCCCCTGCTGCTGGTCTCCAATCTCTCATATATAGAGATAGATTGCCCTGGGACATGGAGGTTCTGCTTATGATACCACCAAAGGTGGCAACATAAACAATCTGAGGCTGAGAATATCCTTAGGAACAGTTAAAAAAACAAAACCTGGCAAGCTTCAAACAGAAAATGAGCACCCCAAGCAACATTTGCAAATGATAATTTGCTGAACGATAAAGTTTTCCCTGGGGGCCTGGGCGACAACTGCTTTAGAGGGCAGGTGTTTGGGCGTGGTTATGGGTTCGAATGCTCCCAGTTAATATGTGGAGACAGTTTGTATCGGGGGGGGGGAACCAAAACCCAAGCTCCTTCCCACTCTCACCTTAGTGGTTTTTCACCAAGAACTTTTGAACAGAGGGTACTCAGAAGGGGGTTCCTGTTCCCTTCTTTTGGGGATGCTCTGAGACTGTCCATCTTGCAATTCCTAAATATATTGGATGGTTTTCACCCCATCCCGTCGCTTTGAGCGAAGGAACAAGAGGTGGCTTCCAGGAGACACCAGGACTGAATAAGCCTCATGATGCTGTGCCTTTGTAGGGTGAAAGAGTGAGGTCTGAACAGGAATGGACTTGTAGTTTACCTTGTGCAGTGGGGGTGGGAGGGAAGCCACCGAATCCAAGGTATAATGGGAGTTGTGTAAGTGTTATTTTACATACCTGTAGGCACACCCAGAAGATGCCTGAAAGAGAGATTTATTGAAGAGGAAACATGTTCAAAGGCCAAGTACTTTACGAGGAAAAATTCACTTGGGGGAATTTCTCGCTTTGAGAGAAAAAAGAAGTGACAGGGACTGTGCTTGATTACACATTTCTCCTCTTTGTTTATAAGCAAGAGGGTGAACCTGCACACTCCCCTAGTTGTCGTTCAACTACAGCTCCTATCATGCTGACCACTGGACTGGCTTTTAAAATCCGAAGATGGTAGGGCCCCCTGTATCTGCGGTGGATTGGTTCCAAAGCCCCCTGCAGATGCTGAAAAATGTGGATGATACCAAACACTATTATAATAATGAACGCTCTACATGGCATGGTTGGTGGCTCTCTCTAATAGTCCATTTTGGTAAACTTCATCATTAGAAACATACATTTCCAAGAACTTTTCATACTTTGCACATTTTTGGACCATGGACTGGTGACTCAGTGGATACTGATCCCATGAATACGGATGGGTGGTGGTGGTTCCTATGGCATTTGAGGGGTTCCTCACCATTTAGGCCACTTTGGCATTTTGCTCTCCCGTTCTTACGTGACACCGCTTGAACCCACAGAGTGATCTTGTTTCAGGAGGAGACCTTCCCCCCCAGATGCTGTCCGAGATGAGGGAGACGAACCAAGTACTGCGAGAAATCACGGAACTGCTCAGCCAACAGGTACACGAGGGGGGGGGGGGACTGGCC